AGTCCGATGATCCGCGCCGTTGTCCAAGTACGGATTAGGGTTCCCCCGCCAAGCTTGATGGAGGACCTTCAGGCTGACCTCCATTTGAACTTGCAACTCTTCCCAATGTTTCTCTATAAAAATGTCTTTTCTGCCTATACAAAGACATGTGGATTTCTATTCAATGCTTACAGTCAGTTTGGTGAACTCAAGCACTTGGCAAGGAACACACTGGCCTGCTGGATGGATTCCAATACCAAGCCAGTACATTCCCCAAGATACATCCTAAGCACTCAAATTCCCAGCCCCTGTTTCTTACAAAGAAGTACTGGAGTACAGTATTTCTTCAAGTGAATCAGTTATTTATTTCATATGTATCATCATCATAGCCGTGCGGCCCAATACAGAAGACCTCCAACTGCTGGACTACACAGAATTGAGCGTTTCAGCGAACAATTCCTTCAAACTACGTTTCTTTCACCCAAGGAAGACCAAGCTTGTGCATCTCAACAGCAAGCTGGAACAGGTAGTCTAGACTCTCGCACTGAGTCTTGGCTTTGACGACGTCGTCTCCCCACACATAACTAGACACATACATGAGCCCGCCGTCACTCGAAAGTCAAGGGTTAGAAGATGAGAACTTACATTCCGTGTCTCCGCACAAGGACAGCATAGGTGTCCGGGTATTCCTCCATCGCCTTCTCCAAGCTTCCCGTGAGGTCTTCCTCAAATGCGGTGTTATCGATGATCGGGATGCGAAGAGTATCGAAGAACCCCATCATGCCCTTGCCCTTGCCACGGGGGATACCCTTGATCTGCTCAATGTTGCTGATTTCAAAGCAGGTGTTCGGGCCCTTTTCGCGCTCAACCAGGAGGGTCACCAGGACCGCCCACTGAGAATGAGTGTGGATACAGCAGCCAGCCCCGCGCTCAAAAGCGGCAAGGAACAGTGGCGTGCATGCCGAGGGCTTCAGGTCGAGCGGCTTGCGAATGTATTTGCGATCGGACGGAGGGTACTTGGGCGTAGGGAATTCCAAGACGAAGATGTTGTCGGATTTCATCATCTCCTTCTGCACACCAGAAGGAGCGATGAATATATGGTTATCGCGACGAATGGAAGTCTAATGCATAATAAATAGTGATCAATTAGCGGTTAATCACGATCGCTCTAGAGGTGCAACATTGCTTACCCCGCCACCAGTACCGGTGACCCAGCCCCAATTGTAGAACCGGCGACAGAGATCAGGGATCAAGTTGGCGGGATGCTCGGGGTCAGACGACTGGACCAAATGGTCATTGTTCTCCTTTTGGATTTCTTGGGCCATGGCGATGGTTGTTGCGCGTGGTTGGAAGATCGATTAGATAGGAAGAGACAGCTCGGGGCGATCGGCTTTAGAGTGATTGTCACGAATCCTCTAGCGCTAAATCTGCAGTAGATATTCCCTAGATCCTGCGCTGAGAGAGATAGAATATATATTGGAGATACAGCGACACTGCCTTGAACGTCGTACAGGTGAGGCAAGAGGATGTTTGACAGAAAAATAAAAAAAACTGTCAGGCGGCGGGGAGGGGAAAGCAGAAGCAAATCACCTCACTAACGCCTTTGGGTGGATTAAGGTAGCGGGGGGAAGTGTGTTCGCGCCATCGCCGACCATTGGTGGACAAGCAACGGAAGAAGGAAGTAATCCATCTAGTAGTCTGAACAGCGTGAGTCTGTAAATCATAGTTCCCAAGAGAAGGAATAACCGGATCTTTTATGTAGGTCATTAAAAATGGACCACAAGGTCCTTTACTTCATCCAGTAATAATACCTACTGTAAACATTCTTGAGCTGCTGAGAAATAAATTACATATGACAGTGACTGGATTCCAATTCCATGAACTGCAATTCTTCTAGACTCTGGGTCTACTTACTAAATTAAATACATCCCGAGGAACGGACAAATACCAGCAGCCGATTTGCACCCGCAGAACATTGGAGAAGCGCGACTAGCCAGATCGGGCAGGCGGGACCTTTCCACAAGGAGCAGCGGCAGCGGAAGAGGCCACCTTGAACTTCCCAGCTTCATGCATTACCTTGCGTCTTCTTATATAACCATCGCTCCAACGGTTCCCTTCTTCCTCTTCTCCTCTCCCTTTACCTTCCCCGTGCAGCTACTTGACTGTTGAGCTTGCCTTCCTCTCTCTCTCTGATCCACATTCCCCCTCTCCGGAGGTTCAATTGCTGGTGCGCTTTGTTCGCCTTTGTTTGTTTTTCTTCTTTTCTTCCTCTCTCGGACGTTCTGGTTTAAGAGCGCCGGTCGCTATCCACCATGCGTTTCAACGCTGCTTTGACTTCTGCCCTGGTCTCCTCGGCCTCCATCATGGGCTATGCCCATGCTGAGGAGACTGAGAAGAAGCCCGAGACCACCTCCTTGGCCGAGAAGCCTACTTTCACCGTGAGTATCTCCGCAGACCGACAAGAGGTGCTGCCGCGCCCTGCTAACTACGTGCTTCCAGCCCACCTCCATCGAGGCTCCTTTCTTGGAGCAGTTCACCGATGACTGGGACTCCCGGTGGACTCCCTCTCACGCTAAGAAGGAGGACTCCAAGTCCGAGGAGGACTGGGCCTATGTTGGTGAATGGTCCGTCGAGGAGCCCACTGTCCTCAAGGGTATGGAGGGTGACAAGGGTCTCGTCGTCAAGAACGTCGCTGCCCACCACGCCATCTCGGCCAAGTTCCCCAAGAAGATCGACAACAAGGACAAGACTCTGGTCGTCCAGTATGAGGTGAAGCCGCAGAGTAAGTGTGACAATTGCTGCGCATGCTCGGTGCTGGGACGCTAACGATAGTCACAGACTCCCTTGTCTGCGGTGGTGCCTACCTGAAGCTTCTCCAGGATAACAAGAAGCTCCACCTCGACGAGTTCTCGAACGCGTCTCCTTACGTGATCATGTTCGGTCCCGACAAGTGTGGTGCTACCAACAAGGTAAGAAGGATCTTGCTAAACGCTGCTTAGTGCAGGCGACTGCAACGGGGACTAACAGCTAGTTTCTTAGGTTCACTTCATCTTCCGTCACAAGAACCCCAAGACCGGCGAGTACGAGGAGAAGCACCTTAAGGCCCCTCCTGCCGCCCGTACCTCCAAGGTCACCTCCGTCTACACCCTGGTCGTCAACCCCGACCAGACCTTCCAGATCCTGATTGATGGCGAGTCCGTCAAGGAAGGTTCTCTCCTCGAGGACTTCAACCCCCCTGTCAACCCCGAGAAGGAGATTGACGACCCCAAGGACAAGAAGCCCGCCGACTGGGTTGATGAGGCCAAGATCCCCGACCCTGAGGCTACGAAGCCCGAGGACTGGGACGAGGAGGCTCCCTTCGAGATTGTCGACGAGGAGGCTACCATCCCCGAGGACTGGCTTGAGGACGAGCCCACTAGCATCCCCGACCCCGAGGCTGAGAAGCCCGAGGACTGGGATGATGAGGAGGATGGCGACTGGGTTCCTCCCACTGTTCCCAACCCCAAGTGCCAGGACGCCTCCGGATGTGGTCCTTGGTCTCCCCCCATGAAGAAGAACCCTGACTACAAGGGCAAGTGGTCTGCTCCCTTGATTGACAACCCCGCCTACAAGGGACCCTGGGCTCCCCGCAAGATCGCCAACCCTGCCTACTTCGAGGACAAGACCCCCTCCAACTTTGAGCCCATGGGCGCTGTAAGTGTACCTTTCCATTGTAAGGCTTAGGCTTTGAGTGACTAATGATGATGCAGATTGGTTTCGAGATCTGGACCATGCAGAACGACATCCTGTTCGACAACATCTACGTTGGCCACTCCGCCGAGGATGCTGAGAAGCTACGCCAGGAGACCTTCGATGTCAAGCACCCCGTTGAGCTGGCTGAGGAGGAGGCCAACAAGCCCAAGCCTGAAGAGAAGGCCGCCGAGCCCAGCGTTAGCTTCAAGGAGGACCCCGTGGGTCACATCAAGGAGAAGGTCGACAACTTTGTCCGCCTCTCTAAGCAGGACCCCATCAACGCCGTGAAGCAGGTTCCTGACGTTGCCGGTGGTCTTGCCGCTGTTCTCGTCACCATGATCCTCGTCATCGTCGGAGCCGTTGGCGCCAGCACCCCGGCTCCTGCTCCCGCCAAGAAGGGCAAGGAGGCTGCTGGTGCTACCAAGGAGAAGACCGGTGCGGCCACCAGCTCCTCCGCGGACACTGGCAAGGGTGGTGCTACCAAGCGCACTACCCGCTCTTCTGCCGAGTAAACCGGTGCAGCTACCAGTGGAACAGCACGCAGGGAAGAAAGGAGAGATAAAAGGCGAAAAAGTCTAAAACAAACAAAAAAACCAGGGATATCCTAACTACATTGTGTTTTTATTTTATACCTCTGTTGCAGCGTTCAATCAATGATCCATTCTGATTCCATGGTGGAAATGCTAGTGGGGCATCAGCTACCGCCTATACAAGGAAGAGGATAAGCAGACCTCAATTGGGGGGTTTCTTTGGGAGGAGGTTAATGCAAGTGAAATGTGTAAAAGTAGCCAAGCTGCAGAATTCTACTGTTGGTTTCTCTAGTTCACGGAATGATCGGGTAGTTCTTGTAACTTTTCCAGCGGTGTCACAATTTTGTGACCGATCGTCTTGCGGTCCGAGGTTCCTATACACCACACCGTCATCGGAGAAGGGCCGACGATACCCGCCTGTTACTTGCACAGAAGCTTCCATCCCCGAAAAGACTTGATGGAGGTATCGCAGTTCCCATGAAGGGCGAATGTAGCTACACTGGGACTATCTACAAATAGCTTATAGTAGTCGGCAGTAGATGCTCTCTCCAGGCAAGTGATCTAAAATGCTGCGAAATTACCCCATAAAATGGCTGGATCGGGCAGGCAGTTCCGGGTGACTATGTGATTGGCTGGAGGCGCCGAGCGTTATCAGAACCTCGGCGGAATGCACATCAATACGGGGAAAGTACCAGACCCAGTATGAACCTGGTACCTGAACGGCCTCCACCGTATTTATCTACGTTGCCTCCCTTCCTGCTGTCCTCACCTCCTCCCCCTTGGATTATTTCCCTTGCTCTTGTCCGTGATTTGGAATTCTTCCTCAAACCATTGTCCTTCTGACCCCGATCATTCATCTCTCACATTTATTATCTTCCATCTTTGAATCATGGCCGCCCGTCGGTCTATTGTCCGTTCCATCCCCGCTCTCCGCGCCGCATCTCCCCGCACGGCCGTGGCCACCTCCAGATCTGTAGCTGCAGCTTCGGCCTCGCGGCGCCTTTCTACTGTTATAATGCCCTCGTCGTCCTCGACATCTTCTCCTGCAACATCTAAGCTCTCCTCATCTTCACCTGCCACCATGTCAGCAACACGTCGACTCCACGCCACCGCCCAGCAGTTCACCCCCGCAACTACCTCCGCGGCTACTACCGCCACCGAGTACCCGACGGACCATAGCCCCATCGCCAACCCCATCGACACCGCTAATTTCCTGGACAACCAGTTTGTTGCTTCCAAGGCTACCACCTGGATCGACCTGCACGATCCTGCCACCAACAACCTCGTTACTCGCGTGCCGCAAAGCACCGATGAGGAACTCCGTGCCGCCGTCGAGTCGGCCGAGAAGGCCTTCCCAGCCTGGCGCGCTACCAGCGTTATTGCCAAGCAGCAGATCATGTTCAAGTTCGTGAGCTTGATTCGTGCCAACTGGGACCGACTTGCTGCATCCATCACCCTCGAGCAGGGCAAGACCTTTGCCGATGCCAAGGGTGATGTTCTCCGCGGCCTTCAAGTCGCCGAAACAGCATGTGGTATTACCACCCAGCTCACGGGCGAGGTGCTCGAAGTGGCCAAGGATATGGAGACCAGGAGCTACAGAGAGCCCCTGGGTGTGGTTGCTGCCATTTGTCCTTTCAGTAAGTGATCCTGCAGTCATCCTGCAAGCTAGGTGACATTGTCCGACGCTAACCGCTCTCCCTCCCCTTCTCGGCAGACTTCCCCGCAATGATCCCCCTGTGGTGCATCCCCATCGCTACCGTGACGGGCAACTGTCTCATCCTTAAGCCATCTGAGCGGGACCCCGGAGCTGCAATGATTCTGGCCGAGCTGGCCCGGGAAGCAGGCTTCCCTCCCGGCGTCATCAACATTGTCCACGGCTCGGCCAAGACTGTCGACTTCATCCTCGACGAACCCGCCATCAAGGCCATCAGCTTCGTCGGTAGCAACCGCGCCGGAGAGTACATCTACACCCGCGGCTCTGCCAATGGCAAGCGTGTCCAGGCCAACCTGGGCGCTAAGAACCATGCCGCCGTAGTCCCCGACTGCAACAAGAACCAGACCCTCAACGCCCTCGTCGGAGCGGCATTTGGTGCTGCCGGACAACGCTGCATGGCCCTCAGCACAGTGGTCATGGTCGGCGAGACCCAGGAATGGCTTCCTGAGATGGCCGAACGGGCCAAGGCACTGCACGTCAACGGAGGCTTCGAAGAAGGCGCCGACCTCGGCCCTGTCATCAGCCCTGAAAGCAAGAAGCGCATCGAGGACCTGATCGCCAGCGCCGAAGAAGAGGGTGCGACCATCCTCCTCGACGGCAGAGGCTACAAGCCTGAGAAGTACCCCAACGGCAACTTTGTAAGCCCCCACCCCCATCTATCTAACTGTAATCTTTCTTTAACTAACACGAACCCCACAGGTCGGCCCCACCATCATCACCAACGTAACCCCCGAAATGAAGTGCTACAAGGAAGAAATCTTCGGCCCCGTCCTCGTCTGCCTGTCCGTGCCCACACTAGACGATGCCATCGAGCTCATCAACAAGAACGAGTACGGAAACGGAGCTGCCATCTTCACCCGCTCCGGATCTACTGCCTCCCGCTTCCAGAAGGACATCGAGGCCGGCCAGGTTGGCGTGAATGTGCCCATCCCTGTGCCGTTGCCCATGTTCTCTTTCACCGGTAACAAGAAGAGTATTGCCGGTGGTGGTGCTAACACTTTCTATGGTAAGCCCGGGTTGCAGTTCTATACCCAGCAGAAGACGGTGACTAGTTTGTGGAGGAGTGAGGATGCTGTTAGCACTAAGGCTCATACCGTTATGCCTACTCATTCGTGAGGGGGTTTGTTTGTCGGTTGGTTGGACTGGGATTTATGATATTTAGGTTGCATCGGACATGATCGTTTTTTATTATAAAATACCATTCAGTTTATGATTTCGGGTTCCTGGCTGTATGGCATCGTTTTAGTCAATCGCATACTCCAATTCGTCTCTGCGTTCATCTGCTTATACTATCCTCGTGTGGATGTGGTCGATATTTTAACCGAAACGTGCTGTCTGCATGTGATCTAATATGGTCTTCTACGCGTTGTGCTACTATTCCAGTTTGGATGATTTACGAAATATATTGGGATATTGAAACATAATGATACTTTATTGTGTGGGGCATCTCTAGTCAGAACCAGTGCGGACAGTATGTCTGCAGTCACAGCTTGCAATGGAGCCCCGCCTCTAGGGGTTTAGTGTTAGGGCAGTTCATACCCTGTCTGCCATGCATTCTTTTAATAAGACATGACAGCTTCCGAACAAGAGCATCTCACGTAGGATGCCTCTACTCAGTCCGTGGCTTTACGAAGCTGTAGACCAGCCGGGCCAGCTTGTAGGTTTTGCCCTTGACGACAGCAACACGGCGAGTGTAATAGCGCTTGCCGTCAATGATCTCGAAACCCCAGACCTATTTATCTTGCATCAGAAAACGTCAAAGGACGGAAATCATGAAGAAAAAACGAACCTGCTCGGCAGTCCAGCCGCTGTCCAGGTTCTCCACGAAGCTGAGATACCAGAGCCCCTCTCCCTCGCCAAACTCTTCACCGAATTCCTCAACAACAAAGCCCTCGGATGCACTTCCGTCGGCTAGAATCTCCCCTCTAAGGAATTTGTAGACCTGGGGATCGTCGATCTTGGTCTCAAATTCTGTATAAGGGCGCACCTTTCCGTCCTCGCCCTTTGATCCCCGGAAAAACCGCGACTGACCTTTGAGATGGCCAAAGATATGGTCGTCGTGCTCTCGTACCTTGTTGTCACTGATGCGTCTCTCGGTTGTACCTTTGATGCCACCAGTGACCGTCTGGTCGATGTCGATGTGCCATAAAGACGGATCTGCGGCATCGGGATACTCATGGATGGAGAGAGTAACTGTTGCGACACTGAGAGCTTTACGCATGAGCCAGCTCATTCCTTGCTATTCCATCCACGGCAGTATGTAAGCAAGAGAGGTATTGCCTTGAATTGTATACATGATTGACTTGTAGAGCCCACAAGGGTGGGGTGTGAGACTTACCAGCTCGAGAATGGGCTCTGAAGGGTTGGAGAGGGTTTTGTCCTAGGATCAGTAATGTCAGTATATATCTTAAGAAATTGAGGAAAGGTATCAGTGTACCATTGTCCACTCTCCATTGAGGGTCTTGAGGTTGCTGTCTGCGGGGGCAGCCATGGTGATGGTACGATGAGGGGTGATAGTGATAAGATACGGAAATTGAAAGTAGGCGGGTCACAGGTAAGAATGGGTGATGGGGATGATAATCAGGACGACAATTGGCCTGACTGACAGTGGTCGTACGAGAATGAGCTGGGGGGAGTGGAGGAAGAACTTTAGTGGACGTGGACGGAGCAGCGCTGACAATCCGACTACTTATATGCTGCAGGAGTAACTACTAGATGGGGGCTTCATGTGATGGGCTCCTTCCATTTCTATCGCCGGACTGTGACTTCCGCCGAGGCATCTGACACGTGCCACCGCCCATTTCAGGTTGATTTGGCGACTGGCATTCTTGAGTAGTACTAGTAGTACTACTAATGGTTCGCCGTGGTAGACGTTGCTCCAGTCTGGTACAGATGGTGTGATGGATCAACCATTCGGTTGCGGACTATTTATTTCCAAGCTGTAAATAATGGCCCGGAGTATTTGTTGACCGACTGGCACATCCCAGTAATTACTACATGTAGTAACCTCCCTCTAGAATGATAACATGATACTCAGATTAGCTACTAGTTGTACCCATACTATATCGCCATAAAAATCAAATCCAGCAATAATGTCTTTGTTCATGACAGGTAAACACACTGAAACACTCATAGTCAGGTACCCGTCTTTTTGAATACAGCCGTTCATGCCTCAGGCCACCAATGATGATGCCCCTTTCACGTGCCCGCCCGCGGAGGAGCCCCAAATCCACCCAGCATCAACTCTCTAAGTTCCACCTGCTGTGCTTCTGTAAATAAACCCTGCCTGTCCTTGTCTCCAGTCGGCCATTATCTTGCTATTAGAAAAGCAATTGGCCATGTCCTTCAATAGGAAGTATGCTGGTCTTCCCGACCTGGTACGTTACGCCCATCATTCCTCCCTCCTACCCCATCTCTATCAACCCGTCTACTAACATCGTTTGTTTGGGCCAGGATCTCGCTCCCGATATCTACGAGACCCCCGATCTGACCGACGAAGCATCCACCGTTCCGGTTAGCTACCCCGCCTGACGCCTGAGCTGGCCTTTGCAAAAGTATCCAACTGCTCATCCTTCATACTATATACCATAGACTACAACTATCCGCACCGCATCCAATGCAGACGACGATGCCGGCTCCAACTCCGACATCGACCGCCAGGGAATTAACGCAGATGAAGCACGCGCCCACTTCCTAGGAGCCACAGTCGACGCGCGCGATGTCAACTTCTCCGACAGCATCGCGATGAAGCGAAAGGCATACAAGAACAAGAACCGTCGCCGGCGCAGGAACGAGAACGGTCTAGAAGAGCCCGAAGACATCAGCGACAGCGAAGATGAAAGCCTCGAGAGGAAGCTCGCCCGGCTCCGCAGGGAAGTAGAAGAACTCAAAGACGAGATGGCCGCTCGACAGACCGAAACCGAACCAGAAGTCGCAGAAGGAAAAGAGCCCACGGACGACGGAGTCCTCGAATTGAGCCGCGCACTGGACAACCTCTATACCTCCCGAACCGACAACACAGGATCACACTCCGCAGCTACACTTCTAGCACAAAAGATCGCAACCAAATCCACATCCCAAACCGCTGCACCTAGCACTCAGAACGCAGACGCCACACAACAACCCGAACCAACAGCCCCCGCATCCTCCGGCGTCCTCGCCCACGCCGCAGCATTCGACGGCCGTCTCGCCCTCATCGAAGCCGCCATGGGCATCTCCAGCTCCTCCAACCCCTTCGTCAGCGACGGAATCTCTGAACCCGCACTCCAGCCCGTCCTCCCAGCCGTCGACCACCTCACATCCCGCCTCACCACCCTTATGAACATCCTCGTCGGCCCGAACCCCGTCTCCGCCGTGCCAACCATGGGCTCCGCACCCCCCTCCACAACCGTCACCACCCCGCATCTCGAGACCCTCTCCACTCGCGTGCGCAAACTCACCGCAGACACAGAAGCCCTTGCCTCCGCGCGCAAACGCGCCGTGGACGCCGCCAAGGCAGCTCAGAACGCGCGCATCGCATCCGCCGCTATTGAGCCCTCGGACATGTCCGTCTCGTCATCCTCCGCTACGGAGGTCGACCCGGCTGCTACCCAGCGCGATGAACAAGCTACCAAGATCCAGGCCCTCTACGCCACCCTCCCCACGATCCAATCCCTCCACCCCATCCTTCCCAGCGTGCTAGAGCGTCTCCGCTCCCTGCGCGCTATCCACGCTGGTGCTGCGCAGGCCTCCGAGTCACTCGATACACTGGAGAAGCGACAGGCAGACATGGCAAGAGAGATCGAGCAGTGGCGCGAGGGTCTGCAGGTCGTCGAGGAGAAGATGGGACAGGGCGAAGCAGCAATGAAGAGCAATATCGAGCTTGTGGAACCTTGGGTCCGGGATCTGGAGGCGAGGTTGGATCGTTTGGAGGGGCAAGGCGCATGATTGGGGAAGATTGTGAAATAGTATGAACATATAACTACTAAGTTTCTTGTAACTGTAGCTGGTCGATAGTAGTACCGGGTACTCATATACCAATTTTTTGTTTAAGCGGACTACAATTACCATTAGTACCAATAATTAACACGCAATAGCGTATGCCAGAAAGGGTACTTAAAGGACTCAACGCGGGTCCGATTTCAAGTAGATAAAACTTCTATTTGGTGTTTTTTACGGGTTAATAACGCAGGCGGTCTCTACTGAGTCCATGACGAACGATTTGTCTTATCACAATGAGATAAGGTATGACTTATTAGTATACAGTAGTAGCAATTTCGTAATTTGATATAGAGCTTGGAATGTACATGAAAACTACTTTTAGCCACTGATTAGTAGTTACTGGATTAGCGCAATGGATATGTTCATAGTTGTAACTATAAGCGAAGCGAGATCTCGAAGAGTCAAAAATTCTATGATACGAAAGCGATACTCGCTATATAATTGTATCCGGGTCGCGCTTTACAAGGGAGTATAACATAATTGCAGGATTTGTATTATACCCAAAGGGAATGAACTTTTACCATACTATACTATGCGGAAGCAACCCCAAAGGCTACAATGGTATAAGCCCTTCACCGGAAATGTCAATCCCCCTGAGGATCCCATTTTGCTTTCAAGCAATTCAACCACTCCACAACCGGGACTTCTCGGCCCCCAACAAGATACCCATCATCTGCAACAGTAGCGTCTATAAGGACTCTGCGCTGAAATGCGCGAACATGGGCCTTCGCATCCCAGGGTGGAATCCGCACATAATCATGCTCGATATGGCAGAGAGACATTTTGAGCGCCCCGTGTTGGAAGCGATGGAAACACAACTCACATAGGGCAAAATCAAAGCAGAACTTGCAGGCATACATGCTTTTGTTCGTGTCTAGGACGCATTCACACGCATCACACGAATAATCATATCTAGCATCACTGAGTGCTTCAGCATATCGTTTCATCGATTCAAATAGTGCCTCATAAGACTTCATATTGGCTGCGTCATCATCACTCCAGGGGGTCTCGTTCATCAACTTGTTTCGGCTTCGCCGCATGAATTGCACAAGTTCTGCAAGTTTGTACCACACGCTGATCGGTTTGTTGCAGTTTTCTTGGAAGAAATCCATAAGCTCGGTAGCTTCCGGTGTCGTGGTTTTCTCATCAGACCGTAGCCACTCCTCCAAAGTCTCGACATCCAGGACCCGACGAGCTATAAGCGAATAGGCATTAAGAAAATTAACTCGATCACCGGTGTAAAGGAAGATTTGAACTAGACGGATAAGACCGCCCACATAATTACCAGTCGTATCATCAGGTAGTAAGTCAAATGCGTCTCTGATGTTTGCCTGGAAGAGCGCTTCGGCTTCTGGTTGTTTTCCATGCCGGATGAAGTCTGCCGCCAGGTATGTCTTTGCAGCAGACATGCCATGAACTATACCCTTTTGGTTCCTGGTATACTTCCTTCAACTTTTGAGAGTATATCTCAGCGTTATCAGGGTCTTTCAATGTCTGCGTGAAGTAATAACAGCCCAACTGCCGCCCAACTCTGTCCAGTAGGATGGCACCAGCAGACAGGTACTTGAGTTTATTTATAATGGTTTCAGCGCATTCTGTCCACGCTTTGACCGCCTGATCAGCATGAGAAGGGTCATCCGAATAGCATGCATATGCCATCCCTTTCTGCAAAAGTAAGGTGGTCCATGTTTTGACCCGGTTCTGTGCCTTGGCATTCTCGATTGCTGTCTGTATGTTTCCCAGTAAGAAAGCGAAGTTATCGGCCGAGGAGGAGCATATAGAGCTAATAGTGTAAGGCAGGTTCATCATCTGAGTGTCGTCGTAATCACTATCTTCGATGGCCATCTGAATCACTAAACCCAGATGCCCCATGGGCCCCGAAGCCATTCTGAGCTTCAGTGTGTCGATTACCAGGTCGCTCAGCTCCTCTCTGCAGTCGTGAGACCACAACTCTTGATTAGCGCATATCTGGCGGTAATATTGCTGGCGCTCATACCCAGGGCTTGCTTAAGGTATTGAAAAGCTTGTTCCTTGTCCCCAGCCAGTGACGCTAGACGAACCAAGACTTTTCCTTGTCGTTCCTGGTCAATGCCCCCCATCCGCTCCAGTAGCTTACTGGCCTTAGGAATGAAAATGACAGCTGCCTTCATGACGGAGGCAGGAACACCTTTGGAACGGATCAATGACTGTGCCCATGCCATCATATACCCTTAATTCAGAGAACCGTGGCTCAACTTCATCAATCACGGCCCGGATCGACTCATGAATGCCATGCACTTTTGATGGAATTTCCAGGATAAACGACAAAGCACTAACGCAAGCGCTTGCAGGCGAGAATGCCTAGAAAGTGAATCTTAGCTTCATGAAACGTGCAGATATGAACATCCCTCCCCAGGCGGATATCTTGATTGCCTTTCTTTTATCTTTTTTGCTTTTCCCCAAATATGGGACACTTACTATATCGGTAGCAGACTTTAAGGGTCCAGTTAGTGTCTGTATAGTAGACACAATCGTAAGAAACTTTTGTCTCGTTTCTCTGGACTCATCATCGTCTCCTTTCTCGCCTGATGAGCTTTTCTTCATGAGATCTTCAAAACTTTTAACATCTTCGAATCTCCTGGACTCAAGCCTCCTTTTGGTGATCTTCTCGAATTGAGCACAGGTTTCTTTCATTAGTCGTTGAATCGATTTAAGTCTCTTTTGGACGTCTTGTCTTGACTGAGTTTCCATCGTGGCGGCAGAGCTCTGCTTTTTTTTCCCCCTAATTCTTTTTGTTCATTTTCCGATAGTTATGCCACGAACGATTGAAACAATATCTGTATGAAATGTTTAGCATGACTTTGGTTTGATCTATTGGACTCGGGGATGTATGAGCGGTTGTCTTCTCACTCACTCATATTTGCTTTTTGCTTACAGCCCTCCAACCCCCTCCCAAGGCTGCAGGCGGGGGTTCATGTGAAGCTAAGGCTGTAGGAATCTTTATTCCCAACGTCCCTCTTGCTTCACAGACTAGTCAAACACACGAATTAGTCCCAGTTCATGGCACCTCCTTCTTGGTTGACAAAGGTCTATCCATCGTCATCATCATGCTCCATGCTTCAGCTTAGTATACCTAGGCTGGAAATGTACTGTTTAGGACAAGAACTTAGTACACAGCAGTCACTGACCGCTCTGGGGTTCTTGTATAACCTCGAGTAGTAAATTTAACTACTGCTACTACTACTACTACTACTACTACTAACCCGGCAATCTAACAAGGGTATCTCTGTATATTTCTTACGAAACCTGAATAATCTATCAACTCATACTTCCACCCCCTTCCTCAATATCCTAATCTTAGGCTCCATCCTCACCTCAACCCACCACCCCTTCGTAATCACATCCCTCACAAACGCTCTCCCCTTCTCGAACAACCTCACCCCTTCATCCCCCATCACATATGCTACCACCTTCTCCTCCACAGCTCCGACGGCCTCATCACCCGGCCGAACGATCCTTAGTCCTGCGAATCCATCAACGGTGTCGACGACTTCCCAGGATCCGAGGATCTTCTCCGACTCTTCGCTTGGCTCAACGAGGAGGTAGTCAAATTGTGACCAGAAGGTCGGGGATGACTTGGTGGTTTCATCTTCGGTCTTATCGTAGTACCAGGGTGTCATCGACTTCGAAGAAACTGAGGAGGGGTGTTGGAGGAAGCGAGTGACGCCTGTTTGGCAGGCGAGGTTGCCTAGGTAGACGGAAATGGTGTCGGGGGATGAGGCGGGGTTGGTATTCTCGGCGTAGGCGTGGAGGGTATTCAAGGCATGGGCACCGGGGTAGTTTGCTGATGAGGCGGGGAGGAGAACAAAGGTAGAGAGAAGGAAGGAGGCGAAGGTGGATGCGAGCATAACCAAGGAGAGAAGACGGTAGAGGAGGGATTTAGTCCGATGGGTCCAGATGTACGACGCGCCGAGGGAGGCGGCGGCGGTAAGCGCGGGGATGGTGTAGATGATGAAGCGCCATTCTTTGTGGGGTTGGGCGCTGTAGATGGCGAGGAAGAAGAGGGAAGAAATGAGAGTGTTGGCTGCGAGGCCGCGGGTGGAGGGCTGATAGAGGGCGAAGGGGATGCCCACGACGTAAGTGAGAGGGTTGAGGAGGAGACGAGGGACGGCGTTGGTGAAGTAGAAGTGCCAGGGGTGAGTGCCCCAGGCGGAGGCTTGGCCGGAGATGACGTTAAATTTGAAGGCTGCGAGTTCAGGCCAGAGGGGAAATTGCTGCCAGAAGAAGGAGTCCACGAGGACGGTAGAGGTGAGGCCGACAAGCAGGCCGAGGATGCCGGCGGGGATGATCTCGCGCTGGATGGTGATGCGGCGAGTCGCGAAGAGGAAGAGGGTGTTGGTTGCGAGGAAGATGGCCAGTTCGGAGCGGAAGATGATGCCGGCGACGGTCATGAGGTAAAGGGAGAGGCGAGCTCGCTTCCTGTATACTGTCGGACTCACGGGCTCTGGGAGGACATATCGCAGGGCCAGGGTGGTGAGGCCAAAGGCGAACATGTTGGACAGGGTCCGCGATGCGTAGTAGAAGATGTGGAATTGGCTGGCTTGAAAGAGTAGATACCAGATTGCAGTGGTCTTGCCGGCAGTGCGGCGCAAACCAGAAGCAAACGCCAGTATTGAGGCAGCATTGAAAAGACCCAGAATGGCGCGTGCTGGAAGTAAATCACCATCGTTAGTGCTATTGCTCAAGCAATTTGGAAAGAAGCACATACCGAGGAATTGTCTGTCAATGTTGGCCTTCAACCAGATAAATGGTTGCGACAGGCCGGACAGCATCACGGCGCCAACGAACGTCCTAGGGACGGCGCCAGGGAAGGCAAAGTGATCATATTCAGCGCGCAGTGTCTCGGAGACATTGCGAGTCTGAATCCCAGAAGATAGTATATCATGAATAGCCTGGATGTGGAACGACTCCTCTACCTTAGTGTAGGGAGCTGCGGCGAGATGGAGGAGAACAAGGGCCGGGATTGCGGCGAGGAGCAGCAGGAAGACTAGGGAGTAGATCAGTATACTGTGCAATGTTGAGAACTATAATTGACAACCTACCGACATCTCTCCCCATGGTGACACCATAGATACTTTCTTAGTATGTCTAGAATACTCCTAACAAAAGAAGTCAAGAAAGAAGAGTATATCCAAAAGGACAACAACATCCCAGCGGGTAAAATTACGTATGCCGCGATACTGCCGCCGCGGCTTCTCCGCCTCTCCTCCGCCATCTCCATCCAGTATCTCCGTTTCACCATCATCATTCGAGAACCACTTCAATCTAGACGTCCTCTTCCCTCCCCCTACCGCCCAAGATGTTCTTCTTCGGTCTTGGGAAGCTCGTCTACGGTGCGCACATCCTAACCACCCCCCTACCACCCCGAATTTGTCCCACAGGAGACAACACAACAAGCAACTAACCCAATCGCATAATCACAGTCATCATCCTCCTCATCAACTCCCTCGCTGTCCTCTCCGAAGACCGCTTCCTAGCCAGAAGTACGCCATCCCCCACTCACCTGCCACAAAATTGAATGAATGAATGAATGAATAACTCATGGAATGATGAAAAACAGTCGGATGGGGCCGCACACAAAACGACCCAGCCTTCGGCGCAACCTACGATACCACCAGCGTCAAAGCGAAGACCATTAATCTGATTGCGAGTGTGAGGACTGTTATGCGAAGTATGTTCAACGAACCCCACTTTCGCTTATTGCATACCTACTAGTTATGCGATGTGTGGGAAACAATGGAAAGAAGAGAGACACAAGCTAACGGACTGCGGGGAATTGTTTTTAGTACCGCTTATTGTGATCAATACGATAATCATCGTGTACGAGCTTATTCTGGGTTAGAGTGGGATTGAAAGCTGAACTGGGGATAATATGAATGAGGATTGGGGAGTTGTGATATAAATGCATACATATATGATTACTACTACTGCTGCTGGGATTCTTGCTCTGGTTTTGGGGGGTTTAAAGAGGATGTGTCTGTATTCCAACCTTTGCCTTCTTCTTTCTTCTTGTTATGTTTACTGTATGATTGAAATTGGATTGAACAGAACAGGGATGAGTGCTGTCCTACTGTAATCGTATGGAGATGTGCACATGCTGTAATGATCCTAATGCTAAGAGTGAGACGCATGTATATGTCTACTCTGTGCTCGAATCCGAGGTGGGTATTGGCTGATATGATAATGAACACTTCTGTTTCAATGTTGATAGTCTTGTTACTATCTAATGCGTGTACTCGCATCGGTCTATATACCACGCAATGTTGATACATATGGTCTATCCCACGAGCCCGAAGGATGAAATGCTCAACATGACCAGACAAGATGTGACAAGTCCAGATCTCAACTTCACTCTCTTCCTACACAAAGAATCGCGCTCCCTCTTTCGCTCCTGGCATCGATGGAAAATGCCCTTCGCATTCCTTGAACCCATTGCGAACCCCATTTCTCCGTAACCCATTTTTGAATGGTAGTAAAATCGACAACGTGTGATAACTTGTAAAATCCAAAATCCGGGAAAAAAAACATCATTCGCCGAACGCCTCACTTGCCCAGCTGTGTGACCCAGGCACGGGTATCACATGATCAAATAGCAGTCAAAGAAGATATATAGCAATAACAAGTGAAGCAATGGTTGGCTAAAACAACATGCAGAAGCAAAGTTCGAAGACATCACAATGCAGGCAAGAGCCAAATAGTGAGTAAAAAAGTAAGACAGGGACCGGACCCATTTCAAACCTTGCATCCACTGGCAACATGCCCGCACCCTGAGCAATATCGCCATATGAAGGAGCCGGTAGTGAAGAGAAGTGTGATGATACATCAAGAAAGTATGTACGAAAAGTCCACGTTTGTTATGTGCAAAGAACGAACAAAGATGCATGCTTGGTGCAATCGGCGAATGACGGGCCTTATGAAAGGATGCTGAACGACTTCTTCCGGATGCTGAAACTCCGCCATTTCCCATGCCCTGCCCGGTCGCCCTTGGGGCTCTTGAGAGCGTCTGGCTCGTCGTCTTGGCCCAGTGGCTTATGAACGATGTGCGACTCCTTCGGTGGGGAGGTCTTCCGCGGTGAGAGCGGCTGGACGGGCTCCAATGGCGGCTGGCGTGGTGTCAAAGGCTCGGCACTAGGAACTGATGGTAGGCCAGAAGACGACGAAGCACGGCTTTCTTTGTCTTTGCCCAAGCGCTGACTGAAACTCTTGCTGCCCCGTTTCAACCGGCTAAGACCATTGCTGGTTTTCTTCGGATCGCCGTCCTTCCCGTTCTCCGTAGGATTGCGTCGATCCTCATCTGCTTTCGACGCTTTGCTGGCCTCCAGGGCAGCCTTTAGTTCAGCTTCCTCGCGTCGCTGATTTTCCTTAACCCTCGCTTCTTGTTCTTTCCGGCGCTGCTTCTCCAACTCCTTTTCAGCTGCTTTGCGCTCCTTTTCTTCTTTAGCCCGCTCCTTCTTGGATTGGATGTCACTCTTCTTAGGGCTCAAAGGCCGATTGACAGTTTCAGGTATTGGCGGAACCGGAGGTGGAGTTGCTACCGCGGGACTTGACGGCTCAATGTCTGGACCAGTATATTCGGTATGTGTGGGTAGCTGAGGTGCGGTGGGGGCTCGTCGGAGGCCCGTGTGTCGTTGGGGCTCGTCTGGCACAGGGATCTGCGAGGCACTATGAACATGTGCCAATCCCGAGGGGTGGGGGAAGCCGTTCGGTTTCACAGCAGCTTCATTCGCGTCAGCCGCACTGGCATTCATGTTCTCCATCTCTTGCTCCTTCAAAACAGCCTCCAATGTAGTCTCCTGGTAGAATAGGACGTAGGCACATGCTAAGCCAGGCTTATCACCAAAGAAGTTGCGCACGTAGTTCTTGTCAACAGGCTCCACCATTTCGTCATCAAAGAGCAGCCATCCGCGATCCTGCGTCTTGATAATGGACACATAATGCCCGTGGTAAGGACCGCCCCCAATGTGGACCACCACGGCGTATAACTCGTATAGGCGATCAGGATCCTCCGCATCGTCTGTTGTGTTAAAAAGACGAAGATGGTAAGGGTACACGACCCGATGAAAGAGCTTCTGCAGTCGCTGGAGATCCTCGGTATATTTAAATCGCTTGAGGTGCAGAGCCAGAATTCGCGGGAGGCGCTTGATTTTCATCCTTTTCTCAGCCTCCTGGAGCCCACCGCAGTTATCGCAGTGAAACTTGTTTCGCTCGCAGAGCATCTCTTCTGCTGAGAATTTCCTCAGGCATGAAGTGACCGACGAGTGCTGCTCCAGATCTACCGACAAATCTAGGAAAATCTCATCGCGCTGGGAAACATTCTCGCAGGTCAAGCACTGTGTCTCTGACGTCAAGGTTCCCTCGAACAGCTCGTGCACCCATCGTGTTGTGTTGGGAGTTTTAGACCCCGAACTGATCGACTGCCGGGAGGAGTCGGTGGTGTCGGCTGGCGGTAAGCTCGGTATAGGTTGCTTCATGGCTTCTGCTTCTACATTGGCGACTACTTCGTTAAGCACAAGGTTCAGGAATTCGTGAGCATCTTGATGCATCGCCGACCGAAACATTTCGTTCTCACGGCGAAGAACGTCGAGGAAATGCTGTGGTCGTACGATACCTATCCTGGACTGGCTCGCAACGACGGATTCGAAGATATCTTTGAGCGACGTGAAGAGCGATTCCGACATTCCATAGCTGCCTGCGTTGTTTTTCGTTTCTAACAACGGCAGTGACTGCAGGGCGATTTTCTTTTTGTACTCAGATGAATCCTTATCTTCGGGTTTCGGTGGCTGAGCGGGAGGTGCGCCGGGTCGCTGAGCGTTGGCGAGTCTTTGTTTCTCTGCTTGTGCCTCAGCTTCCTGGTTTGCGGCGAAGTTCTGATAGCGAAGGTTCTTCGCCAAAGCAGCCTCCAAGGTTTCTATTGGCGTTCGTGTCGGATAGTTGAGCACGGCTTCGCGAAAGGGTACTGAATAATAGAGACACTGCAAGATTGAGTTACAGTAGCTGCGCAAACGGGGGATTAGTGACATGACTCTGGGACGGGGTTCCTCCCCTCTACTGAATGGTTGGTATCAATTGGCCACTCACCAAGTATTTCCGTACTGGACAGCACAAGCCACTGTTAGCAACTCCGCCAAACCGGGGTATAGATTGCAGGAAGGGCCAACTCACGTTCTCCATGCCGAAAAACTTGTCGCTACCGTCTTGTCGAACCGAATCCGAACCCATTTCCTGCAGCATCTTCTCCAGCGGGGTCATCGGAAGCGCCAGGGGTTCTTTCTTCGCGGGAGTCGCCCCGACCGAAGGAGTGGAAGATCCCTGAAAACGATGCAGTCAGCATTGTGGTAGTTGTGGCGAACGGTAATGGAGACGCGACAGGTTGGCTCTCCAGCGATCTAATGGGCATGCCGCATGTCCTTTCACGATTTTCCCAAGGATCGCCAACTTAACCAGGCAGGTTGGTATGCCCCAAAGATGTAGGAGGCCAGAGCATGCTCAGAGGCAAAAGAAGCGCGGCCAAGTCAGCAGATTGAAGGAACTTACCACATCTCTCCGGAAACTCCTCAGAAAAGACCCCATGTTTATCGCAAAGTCTCAAAGACCTTAGTATACAACTTCATCTGGTAGCTTTCGCGGGACACAGTAGCCGACACCGGAACCGAAGGAGAGTGAATGTGAAGCGTTATATCGGCGCGCAGGCGAGCCAGCCGGTATGCGACGGCAGGAACCAGTAAGCGAAGTCGAGTAGAGATAGGAGGGTTTGTAAGAGCAACGGTCGGCGATATGATGGGGTTTTTGACACAACGGAGTGGCAGCGACAAAGAATTAAAAGAAGAGAGTCTAGATGCTCGGCATAGGGTTTCCTAAATCCGCGGATCCGACGAGCGTTTGAGAAAGGGCTTGAGGGGGGAAAGATGTGGTGGATGAGTGAACCAGGAATGGGGCGGAACGTGAACGGGCGGCGGAAATCGAAGGTGGAGAACGCTGCGGTCGGAGGGAGAAAGGCACAGGCGAATTGAAAGCAACGGGGGTCGAAGGGATGTGTAAGAAGACGAGCAGGCAGAATGCAAGGTCAGACAAGGAGAGGAAGAAGGTGAACAAGAGAAGAAAGAGATCGAATCAGTGAGAGACAGAGGTAGAGGGAGAGAGAGAGAGAGGAGAGGCGGGAGTAGGGGAACGACGTTGTTGGTAGCCGGATTATTCCCCAAGTCAGGAACCTCGAGCCATACACAGTACACTGTTCGATACACCAGAGACTTTGCAGTGGATACTAAATACAGCCTTTCACATCTGCCTGGGTAATATTACATGGGGGTTCTCTCGTAATGACGGGCGGGTGCGCGGGCCCGAGCGGTTGGGGGGGGGGCAAACCCGATTTGACTTTTGGAGATGAACGTTTCGAGGAGGGGAAAGATGGCTTTGACGGGTGCTACTGTCACAGATTGGGGGAGAGGGAGAGACTTTGAACCATCGTTTGGACGGGAGCATATTCCCATAGTCATCCGAGTCTAGATGTTTGGCTTTCTTTCCCCCGCAATTGTGTGGTGACTGCAAGAAGAAACACCCGGCCGTCTTCTCGATCTCACACCAACTCCGGTAAACCTCAGTCATAGGTTTCTTTACCCAAAAAACACTCACCAGTATTTTACAGCGGTTTTCATGATTTTAACTCCTCCCACGCATCTTCCCAAAAGAGACATCCGATGAACCAGCCCCATTCTGTGTTTCCCCCTCACTATGACTTAGAATCTTTACTCCTTTCTCTCATCTTGATCCTAGCGAGTTCAAGTGGCCCCCCCATAGCTGGCTCAGCTCTTTACACTACGTCACAGTTTCCATATATTAAAGTTCCTCCACAAACATACCCTTCTACACCGCGCGCAATGCAATACTAACACCAGAAGAGGAGGGGGTGACATTTGAGGCCAGATCCACTGGCCCTGAAATATACCCGGTGGTTCTCCCCTCCGCCGTAAACTCCGCCAGTTACTCTTTAAATCCGAAGGACAATCGACCTACAGATTTAAATTTGGCATGCTAAGAATTCGTCTATTCTTGTCTCCTCCTAATTAAGTCTGTGTGACGAACACAAGAGAAGATAAGCCGTGCAGAGGATTGATGTGGAAGACAGACAGAGAAAGCTTGCGCAGAACAAGTGGTCATCGGGTAATATGGAAGGTACGAGTCGTGAGGTGCGGTTGCGTCGATGTCGAAAACCATCGCTCTGATTTGTTGCCAGCCCATTGGCATGGCTTAGCCTTTCCACGAGCCTTCTGCGGCCGGTACTACCTGAAACGCACATAGGTTGCGTTGAGATGCGTGGGGTGGCTATGCTTCCACTGCAGGCATGGAAACCCAACTGAGCAGAATACCCTGCGTTAGCAATAGCCGTGACTCGTGTTGGTGATAGATAGATAGAGGGAGGAGATGCTGGAATCGACCAGCACTCACAGCTATCTCAGCAGTCTATCTATCGAGCGGTCATGGACGCGGGATAACCTGCGTGATTTTAGCAACCAGTCCGGCCTGGCGGCGTTCTTGGCGGTGGCTTCATGTTGGCAAGTTATCGCAGCACCTTTGTTGTCCGGGGTATTTGCTTTTCCCAAGGGGGCGGGGAGGTACCAGGGGCACTTGCGATGGGGGTCAGGAGACCCCTCGAGCATTCCGATCCAGTTCTTATTCTATATTAACTTTGCCATTTCCAGTTGTAGTACCATGCAATCGTCATCTGCGTTCTTTAACGTTGTACCTTTCTTTCCCCCTCTTTCTGGGGTACGGTCGGGGCCATACCATTATTAGATAAGATCAGTACCACCTAGTAAGCGGTTACGATGTTAGTGTACACAAAGCGAACATGGATAGGTACGATGTCATACATACCGTATCAAGAACCACGTGGAAACTCAAGGATCAGAAGGGTGCCCTGTGACCAATCGCATAATTTAATCCGCCCCACATACCCCATCCACCCCAGCATTTGAGATACTAGCGTCATACAGACCGAAGGCGTTGTACGGAGCGGATGTAATTGTGCCTTACACAGTACACACAAACACACCCATAAGGTGAAGCAGGGTTTGGTTTTCCATTCCGTTCCAGTGACACTCGTGTCGGTTTCCGATTCTGTCAAGGAATAACAGCTGCCACTTGCATCCGTGGTAAAGTTAAATCGGATCGAGTTCGGCAGTGAAACCATAAATTATACGCGTGCATAAAAACATAACGCAGCCTTGCCCTTGCAATTTCAACCAACCATGAATACTGCGAAAGTTAGAAGACCAACCGGATTTACGGCGTAACCGATAGCATCCGCTCTGCGTCCGTTCAGCCCGATGAAAGCGCCAGATAACTACTACTAACTAGGTAACATCATAGCCCGGGTTTAGCTTATTAAACTGCCAATTGATAAGCACCATGGATCTGGGTTTCAAGCCTGCGACAAATCAATGGCCTTTGGGGAAGATCCTTGAGAACAGGCCATAACGTCATTGGGTGGACATGGAGGCACTAGGGCCTGCACTAAAAGCTGCGGGCGTCTAAATGGAACCTTCCACCGCGCTCGGTCTACTCCGGAGTCTAGTCCGAAGTAAGAGTAGGTTTTTGCTACTGCTACTGGGATGGAGGTGTGCAGTGCACTCAGTGTGCCTGGTCAAACCGGAAAAAAACACAATACTTACTTACAGACATCAGGTGTGCAAATTACAAAGTGTAACATCACCCCATGTGCCGGTCTGCCTCACATCAAGCCACCGTTTCCCCCGCCAATAAGCGCCCCTGTCCATGTGGGTTGATACTATCCATGTGCTTGAATCTACCACGGGGGCAGATCTTGGAATAGGTAGGACCATAACGGCTGGTCAGGGATTCTGGCTGGAATGGCGAGTTAGAAAACCAGTTTGGGGGGCTGGGGCATGGGAGTGGGACAGGTTGGGCTGTAGTACAAAGTAGTACTAAGTAGTACTAAGTAGCAGTGGTGACTGCGGCTTTGTACTCGGGTTCAACTTGGCTCTTCGCCCTCGGTCGGATGGCGGAATGGGACCGAATCCGAATCTGAGTGAGAAGGCACTCCAATGACAACTACCAACCAGGGCAGTGTTCATACTATGCTTTACTCGCAGGGAGTTCGTTACCCCGTACTACTACGTTGTATGACTGTGTAAGACTGGAAACTTGTCGCATGCCCCATTCAGTGATCTATTGAGCCCGACGGACATTGCTCTAAAGTGTCCCTTCAGTGAGGATTACTAGTCTACTGCGAAGTATCTCCTGTTATACTTGTAACTATTAATACTTCCTTGGCAGGAGAACTCCACGACTCAGCCAGCTTGTTTCTGGATAAGCGTCAATCTGTGATAACGGACCGTGCACGAGATGACACCTCTTCTAATATCTCCCACCGAACTTGGGCGTTGTTATAAGCCTGAGGGCATCGGTAAACCTCTTGCCGCTTGCAGCCTCGATCTGGCATCATTCCTAGCCACGAGGTTCTTGATGTGGACCAGGAATGTGTAGATCTAGCCAGCATTCCAGCTACGATGTGACTTGTTATGATCCCTGCTACATCGTTAAGGGGCGGAAAAACAATTCGCAGCGCTGGCCGAGATGGCTGGTAATTTATCATGGCATAGCAAGGAACCAACTCTATGAACCCAAAAAAAAAGGGGCTGTAAGAAATGCATATATTCCGGGGTCATCATGCTGGTAGACCAAAAATACTAAAAAAGATTTATGCGACACCTCTGGGACTCGAACCCAGGCGGGCGAACCCACAGGCTAAACAGCTAGTACGATAAGGTAGTAGCAGGCCTGCGCCTTAAACCACTCGGCCAAAGTGTCAATTTGATAGGAATAGTCACCTTTATAATAATATATGATCTATCCCACATATGCACTGTTTGACTCACAAATCTCAACCACCGATTCGCCGACTTCGACTTTACCTCCAAAACATCTTTTGCTCCTGAATTCAAGGCTGCCCGTCTATAACGCCGGTTCGCGCGGGAAAGTCCGACCTCAATTCCTTGAATGCACCCCTCACTCCAACCACGCATTCTCCGCTCCGCCCGACGAGCCCTGACGGAGTATCCCCGGGCCCCAGCGAGCAGTTGCAGACGCAGCACCAGCACCAGCACCAACAGGAGCGGTAGTAGCCTTCAGCAGCACCAAACCAGAGAGCGGCCAAACATCCGGCAGGCGATCGAAGCCCCCACCATCCCCCACCACCGCCACTACCACATCTCCCTCTCCCACTCGACTTTTCCCTCCTCTTCCCCCTCCATTCCCCTCCCCCATCCCTCTCGCTCGCTCTCCACCATGCCGAAAGAAAAGGAATCCAAGCTCTCCTTCAACCTCAAGACCCCCAAGGGTACCAAAGACTGGTCCGGCTCCGACGCCCTCCTCCGCGACCGCATCTTCTCCACCATCGCCGACGTCTTCAAGCGCCATGGCGGTACTGCCCTCGACACCCCCGTCTTCGAGCTGCGCGAGATTCTCGCCGGTAAGTATGGCGAGGACTCCAAACTCATCTACGACCTCCAGGATCAGGGTGGAGAAATCTGCT